TCAACCCAGGAAATGTTTTTTGTGCTTAGAAGCTCAGCCTGAGAAAGGCTTGTACTACACTAGGACCGAGAACACTCAGTGTAGTCTATTGGCTTAAACCCATGTCTGAGCAGTCTTCTCTGCTGGATACCCCATAGCAAGAGCACCCCAGTGGGCCTCTTCTGCACACCCCAGAAGCACTCCCAAACTAGAGCCTCTGTTCAAGGCCACCATTGTGTATACATCAGCCGTGTATAGCTGTCTTTTCAAATCTACAAGATCCCGGAGAGCTTAGTCTGGCTGTGATTTAAGGTGGAGGGAAAGATGGTCAGTAGGACAGAGGATAGCATTAACAACTGGCTCTTTGGTGGGAATGCTTCCGAGGAAGACCCAGGGGGGCAACAGTACCAAACACATGTGTGGGGCCCAGGACAGCCTGGCCACACATGGGACCCAGGTCTCACAGCTACCGTCGCAGGCAGCACCGGATTCCAGGAAAAGCCATAAGCTGGTACCACCAGGAACAGAGCATCCAAAGGAAATTCCTAACATTCCAACCACTGTGGATAGGATCACCTGCCAGCACACATCCACCACTTTTCACCAGGACACCCCTAGACAAATGTCAGCCGATCAGGGATCCTGAGCCTTAAAAATCCCTCACCCCCACCTCTGCTACTATAAAAACCCAACCCTAACTGAGCTTGGAGCTCTGGTCATTCCAATACGCTGGACACAGAGAGAGTTCAAGTTTGCAAATTTGTATAAGAATAATGGCTCTTTGCTTTTACATACAGGACTCAGTCTCCTAGTTGGTTTTGAGGGGACTCTGTGATCTGGCCATAACACACAATCATCACCTGGGTTGGTGTTGCCATGATTGGTAGAATTCTGTTTTACTGTGTTTTGTGACAGAATCTCAGTATATAAGCCTATCCCCTAATGATTTTTCTTTCTTTCTTTTTCTTTTCTTTTCTTTTTGGTTTTCCGAGACACAGGGTTTCTCTGTAGCTTTAGAGCCTCTCCTGGAACTAGCTCTTGTAGACCAGGTTGACCTCGAACTCACAGAGATCCTCCTGCCTCTGCCTGCCGAGTGCTGGGATTAAAGGTGTGCGCCACCACCGCCCGGCTGGTTTTTCTTTTCTTTGTTTTGAAATAAGGTTTCGCAGGGCTCAGGCTAGCCTCAAGCTCATGATATAGCTGAGGATGACCTTGAATTTCTGGTCCTCTTGCTTCCCCTTTTCTAGTGCTCTTGCTACAGGTGTGCATCACCACAACCAGTTCTTCTGGTGGGAAATCAAACTCAGGAGCTCCGATTACCTGGAAAAGCACTCAGTCAATGATCACTATGTTATTTGAGTGATCTGGGGTCACTCAGAGATTCACCAGTCTGACCATGAATAAATTTCAACACAGAAAAGGTTCTAGTAAATGCTGGCCAGGATCATGGATTCCGGCCAGGCCCATGTCCAAGACTCATGCTCAGAGTATGAGCCAAATGACATTAGCCAGGGGCTTCTAAAGGCAAAGCCCACAAGACTATGTACTTCCTGCTTTCATTCCATCGGGGGCAAGCATACATCCTGACATACTTCCTGACTACGTACTTCCTGCCTTACATGTGATCAGGGGGGCAACCACGCTTGTTTACAGAAGCAAAACTATGCAGCTTGCTATCTTACATTAACAACAGCCCCCAGAATTCCAGAAGTTAGATGGCCTTGGGCAAGTAGTACTTGCCCCTGAAGCACAGTAATTTAAACTTAAAACATTTAACGTTAGCCATCACATATGGATTTGGGTGGTCTGTCTATATGGATGTCTGTGCACCAGCGCATGTGCTTGGTGCCCGCACATACCCTAGGACTGGAGTTACAGATGTTTGTGAGCTGCCATGTGGGTCCTAGGAATAGAACCTGGGTCCTCTGGAAGAGCAGCCAATGCTGACTGCTGAGCCATCTCTCTAGTCACTGTGCCGGCATTTTGTTGTTGTTTTGTTTTGTAATTTTAGAGAGGTGATTTTTTTATAGCTCTATATTTGTTAAAAATTAAACATTTTATCGGGGAGCAGGGTGGAGTGACACAGCCTTTTAATCCCAGAATTTGGAAAGTAGAGGCAGGCAGATTTCTGACTTCAACCAGCCTCATCTACAGAGCAAATTTCAAGACAGCCAAGGTTACATAGAGAAGAAGAAGAAGAAGAAGAAGAAGAAGAAGAAGAAGAAGAAGAAG